AAAACAGTGAAAATTTTCACGTTAAAAGTGGTAAGCAGGCCCGTGATAAGGTTCGGGAGGGCAAGGGAACCAAATGCGCTTTTGGTTATTGTATGATGTATTTGGGAGCCTTCGTGCTTGACCTGCAAGTGTTCTAGTTAGAGGGCAGACGGAAATCAAAAGGTGTTCACGGTGGATGTGACAATTGTTATATGCAAGGAAAGACCGGAATTAAGTGGGAAAATGGTTTCAGTGATCGGTATAAAACTGGGAGTTTTGACTTAGCAGCGACTTATCCATGAGTACTCATTATTTTTCAAGCGGGTTTGAAGAAATTTGAGGTGGTACAAGCTGAATGCATGCAAACCTTGAGTGTAAAAATACCACCAGCACAACCAGAGGGTTCACATTTATTGTGTGTGTAAAGCGTATAAAGCAACGGCATGGTCGCTGGAGAAATGCGCTGAACGAATGGATGTGGACGCTTGGGGAAACGATAAAGGGAACTAATTTACCTGGAAGATAACAGACTAAACATCACAAATTCATGAAAAACAGATCAACAAGGTCCCGCCTTTCGTATGCCTTAAGGCGCAAATTTTCCTGGCGCGTGTTGATGACTCCGGATGCCAGCCACAAAAAACAGTTTGGGACTGACGAACAAATACGGAAGGATAGTTCAGTGTGCCTCCCTAGAACGGCTAAAGTTGTGTCTTCAGGGATCGGTGTTTTAGGCGTGAGTGGGAACGATTATAAAGAAGCCGTTTTAAAATACACGAAGGACGTGAATGAGACATCTACTGGGACGCCCATGTTCGATGGATAACTGGCTGCGGTAGCCATCTTGGAAAACAGGAGGTTAAGGTATGTACCAACCTTGGTCGAATTTTGATGGACAGTTTCTGAGACAACTTCGTCGCACGTAGACCGGAGTCCTCACATTTAAATGCGGTGTCATAGTAGAAGTAGATTAAACATGATGGTGAGAACTTGCAAGAATTTGTACATGAAGGCGGCAACGGATGGAACGGACAGCATTCACTGCCTTCTTGGAAGGTTGGAAAACCCGCGTAGTGGTGCAAGCTTAGCAGATATTTAAAAGCGGGCATTTTGTGTGCTAGAATAAAAAATGCAAGTCTTTCCTGTTACAGCAAAGACGGGGGTAGCAGACATTACATGTACGTGGCTCTTTCGCTTTTGATTTGGAAATCTCTTGTGAGCCCAATGGGGGATCAGTAGCATTGTGTGGAAAAACTGAAAAACCATGCCTCATTCAGACCATCTGCAATCTCATGACTGGACAATGGGCCAGTGGCAGGGATCATGAATGTTTAGAAAAAGTTATGAATAGAGTAGAGCAGAAGACGAAAACTGATTAAGGCCTCAAAGTAGTGGTCAAATCGAGCCAGGGAGTTTTATGCGTCTGGTTAAGTCACTTTCGTTGGATCGAAGTGAGATATAATTTAGTCGGCTGCACGGTATTCAGAAGGGGCGAAAATGTAAGTGGCTACTGTAAAGGCTTTGTCTGCCAAAGTCAAGGGAAAGTATTAAGACGTTATTATGGGCGCAAGATGAAACATGGTACCATTTTCTTTTTGAGTCGAGCAGCTAGTAATCTGTGATAATAATAACAATTTGTGAAAATATCCAGTTAAATTAGGAGTATTTTGCGAGGAAGGTATTGGATGTGAAATCGGAAATGGTGAATCGGACCTACGGGGAAAGAAAAATTGTCCAGCAGGCGCAAATGCCAAGGCGAAATAGGTAATATTGGGGAGTATGCCGGAGAGTTTAGCTGAATGCTGAGAGTTGTGTTAGTATAAATCGTGGGTAGTTAGCTTAGGAATAGCTTGGAATCCACATACCTGTTATTTTTGTTGAGGATTGGATTGACGCCGGTTGAGTGCGATGTTGCCAGAAAGTAGATGAAATTTCGGGAGGAGTCCGTCGCTTAGAACCAGATTTTGGCCCCTTTTGGTTGCTAAAAGGGGCAGGGACGTTAATTCTGTGAACACTGATGGGTTTTTACCGTTTTCTAATAGAGCCCTTGGCCGGTAGAGATTGGTAGATTCTGAAGTGTGGCCCTCTATCTATTGAGAAATAATTTAGTTCCGGAACATTTCGGAGAACGTCCCCTGGATTCCCGTCGGAATGTGCTTCATTGGTGAATGTCAGACTCCTAGACTCTGTGGAACTGCTAAAGTTGGAGGGCTGCGAGGCCACGAATTTTGCCCATCTGCAATGTGTGAGGTTAGAGTTATTGATAACTCCACCAAGGATGTCGTGAGGTAAACGTACTGAACTCGAGATAGATGAAGCTTGCTCCATTCCGGAGAAACCAGCTTGCTTTATTTATCTTCTGATTAAGGAGTATGAATATCATGGGGGAAATGAAATAAAATGTGGACTTTCCGAAGGTAACGGGACCAAACGGAAGGATTCGCGTGACTAGGATTTCAACCGGATTTCTTCAGAAATACGACTATCTACATCGGAAGAGTGGACAGTTACTTCGTCTCTTGGATCATGCTACACGCTGCTGTTGCACAAGCGCCGCACAGGGCATACAAGGGTAGCATTGCCATCAGCCGGGTACTCTGAAGCGATTTTAGTTCCCTGTAAATCAGCTAAGGATGCGAAAAGCTGGCCGGTTTATTCTTTGTTCAAATATCTGTCTGAGACTGTGATGAATTCGTCGCAGCCGCAGAGGCTTATTCCGGGTGAGAAGGGTTGGTTTGGGCGCAAGCAAGTCAGCACTCGGGTGTTATAAGCTAATTAACAAGTAGATGAGGTACGTGTTCATAAGGATGAGCAGGGAAAATTCCGGATAGGTTTCGACAGAGATAAGAAATGAGCATGAAGTATTTCAGTTAACAGTGGACCCATTATGTCTAAGGCTGGATTAATTCCTTGTATTTTCACTCGTTCGTTAGCCAAAGAGACCACTTTGGATCCTCAAACTCGGATTTGAAACTTCTGTATGCAGATACCTCAGTGCTGCTTACCTTCTTGCGTTAGCCCAAACTTGGCCCATATTAGTGGACGCGACATAAAAGACCAGATTCCAGGAGATCCACAAACCCGCTGCGGCGTTCGTCCCAGAGTAACCAGTGTACAGTCCAGCAAACAAAGGTCCACCCAAGAGGGCTCGGAGGGTATGAGGTCCTGACTTTTCATCAATAGGGCAACTCCAGAAGGTCCGAAAGGCGGGCTGGCATCCCTTATGAAGCGAAAGTATTTAGAAGCGGAAATTTACCAACAAAACATAAGTTATTAGGTCGTGATACCGAGCCTCGACTGAAAAAAACAAATGTACTATGGGAGCACATGACACACTTTGAAGAAACAAGCCAACGACATCTCCTTGATGGACGGAGACGGGAACACACAATCAACCCATCAGTGAGAGATAAAGCCTGTGAAGCCCCCTATACTGCTCGGCATCACACACTGTCCTGGTAAGGTGAGACTAGGAGCAGCTTCTAACCAACTTTATCTTTACAAACGAGGATATTCGTTGACTCCTGCACGAGATAGGACCGCTCGGCGATTTAGTGCCGGATGAGGTCCATAGGACAAGCCTGAGGGAAATATCGCTAACATTGGTGAAATATTTCAGTCTGATGCCTCATTAGTCGTGTGATGTGGCCAACTTTCCTGACGCTCGGAAGGAGGCGACTATTGAACCGATCAACCTATTTGGTGACAACCTGGCTTTCGGCATCTGCAGGCGTTATAGGGTCACCAGGCCACAATGCAAGTAATGTAGCGCATTCTGTGAAGTAAGTTTCAAATCACCTCACCATCAACAACGCACGGTGCGACCGGATTCCTCATAAACCGTTTCTGGATGACCGAAATATTCCTATGTACGGACAGCTTCAAACAAGCCGAAATGGAGGAACCCATAGAGGAGGTCAAATTTTTCGGCTTCTCAAAGACGTTTGAACAAGTTGCGCACGTAGTGCTCCGAAAATCCGGGTCTTATAGGAGAAACAGAAATTCCACAATTTATTGAGTTTTTCTTGTCAGGTAGAACATTCCTACCCCGATTCTGTCCCAGATCCGTCGATTTTGATACGGATTCCTATGTGTTTGTATCCTCTCTTCCAGTGAAACTTGGCGACTACTTACGTCCTGCTTGAACATGGTTTGACCGAGGGTTTTTCATCGTTGACCCATGGCGATGATTTAATAATAAGCCTTCAAGCTCAGGACGCTCGTATTAATTAGGCAACACCTTTCTTCACTTCGGATAGACGAAGCGTAGAATAGCCTTCATCCGCATGCATCTGGGTCCCAACCAAGGGCGTTTATGTGGAAGTTTTCACACCCCTCGCTGTGGCATGCTTGTTGCTTAGCGGTGAGATGTGTTTTATGCCTGCACTTTCCAGGGAGCAGAAGTTCCCGAACAACGCCAACAAACCGCACCGGAGAAGTCTCAGAGAAAGCTTCCATTCTGTGTATTATTCAGTGAATCCTTGGTGGGTGTGGGTAAGAACATACGAGAATAATTGGCAATAATTTCTCTTAAGAATAAAACAAAACTAAATGGAAGCGCTAAAAACAGTTTTCACACAAAAATTTATTTTCGCGCATCGCGATTAGGGCGGCTCCTTAGCCGCGCAATGCTCTTAGCTGCAAAACCTGTGCGAGGCGGATGAAAATTGTACGCTGAAATGTTGACTTTTGTTACATATGTACATGAACCAAAAATTACTCAAATATATGTGTATTTTTTTCGCCTACCAGAAAATTCTGGTGGAATACTTTTTCTAGCATCAATAGGACCCTAGGATGCCTACTTGGGGTTAAAAATTCTGGACTGGTATTTTGAACTCAATTTTCTGTCGGTTCCGGCCCATCGGGAGCGCGTCATAACTTTCGAGAACTCAATTCCATAGTGCGAATATTGGGTGGCCACACTAAGTGCGATTTTTCTCCAACTTCATGTACGAACCACACGAACTGGCTGACCTGAAGACCTTGGTTCCTCATACTTTTACCACATCACCTTCAAGGCTCATTGGGAGACGGAGCGGATTCTGATGCGGCGGTCTTCGTCGCGCCTCTTCAATCTGGTGAGAATCTCTGTCCACCGATGACGTCCTCGGACAACCTGCCTCTAAATGAACTCGAAAAGCAACTGCTTGACCCATCCTCGGAATGTTATCTGGAAAACCTACTGGATTTAGTGACGTCATTGGTTGCTGATTGCAACTACCCCTCAGCGTCTAACTCACGGACCGTACAAGCATTCCTGAATAGGTTCGTTTAGATAATTTCTGGAATAGTATTTTCGATGTGGTTGTACACGGAAGTTGTAGCAAACCTCTCATCGTTTCAAAGTTATTTTGGGATTCATCGCACTAACGTAGTAATTCCCTGAGGCACTGGTTTTGCTGCTGCCGTTAACGACCACTATTACATTGCATTCATTACATTACATTACATTCATTACATTACATTCTTTCACCTTAGACTTGAGTTTCTCACCATCACACTGTCTCCCACTTCGACGTCCAGTTTTTTGTTGTGGTGATAGATTCCTCCTTCTAGGGATGTGTTTCGGTATTCTGAACCGTGTTACCATCGAAAGGAATAACCTAGTGAATAGGTGCCCCGGGTTCCTTCCTACCTGGTCTGACATATATGGTGGTCGGGGCGAAAAGGGTTGTGCGCGCAGTTGCTCCAGACTTGGCGAAAATTGCCGCGTGCGTAGTACTCTTCTGGTGCCATAAAAGTAAATCTTATTGGATGACAGTAGCTTTTGCCTCGTTGACACAGAGTTTAATAGCCGGTTTGGTTTCAAAATAGGTTTCAAATCAGGATACAATCAAGGGCTTTTTGTTTCGAATATTAGCAATAGGTTCCCGACAGTGCGAACAGGTTCACAACGGTACATCTTCCAAATATTTATCTCATTCAGTGAATCCACCAGAAACGCGCAATCCAAGTGCAAGTAGATTGCTCATTTCTAGATTGCCCTCGTTTCACCAAACGTAGTCGGAGTGAAGTAGCTGGTTACAAGCGTTAAAGATCCTTGAGCGAATCGCACCGTTAATAGATTTCCAAAATACCTTCGAAACACTTCTCTACTGATCTCTACCATCCCTGTCAACAGATTGTTCCATTAGTCGGCCACCATTTGGCGCGCTCTCGCCGTTCCCTCCGAGGCTTCAGTGTATTCGTTTAGTGTCTTTGGATAGGTCTTTTTATGACGTATATTGAAGATGCCGGCGGCAATACTTTGCTGGGAGCATGTCTACCTTCCGAGAGCCACCAGAACCGAAGATATTCGGAGTCACATGGTCGCATATTCCATGGAAGAATCAGCTTCCATTCCGAGTAAAAAAGACGATGGTTGGCCACAGTTGGTTGCACCTGTTGTAAGCATTTCTTGGACGGCTTTCGGTACCGTTCAAGGAAATAAAGTTGAGCATCTCCGTAACATCTTGTGCTCCATGAATTTGCACACATTTCCTTCCGCACCATCTTGTCAGATGCCTCATTGAAGTCCGCTTTGGTCACATCCAGGCTAGTCCTATCGTCAATTTGGTTGGCTCCACATTCTTAAACAATCAGGTTAGGGACATGTAAGTGAACCCTCTGTTACTTATGGTTGACAAACCTCTCGAGGTGTTTGCTTAGCCGTCTTAATGGTTACTCCATACAGGTGGTATAGAATCACAACTAGGTTGATGAATCAACAGTTACCAAATCGTTATTCTTCTCAAACATGGATTAAGCACTGACGGCTTAGTCACCCCCCTTTGTTTTCTGATGGGGTGGTGATATCGCGCATATATCATCACCTTTGGTTAGATATCAGCAGCGTGATAGTGGATTCATACTCGGTATATTTCTAGATGGAAAGATCGCTGAAATACATGAGCGCGCTTTGGCCGCCCAACTTTGTTGATTTCGTCCTTAATTTAGATGTGAACGTTGGAAGTCTATGCCTCCGTTGTTTGGGCACACCTCGGGATGGGTATCGACGCACTTGAGCCGGATAATGGTGCGGTTCACAGTGTTTTCCACCAACTGTATTGTACATAGCGCGACACGTGAAATCTCTCGTGTCAGTTGGTCGCTGAGAGACAGTCTCATAGTCATCCATGTTGGGGTTTGAATATGTTTCTTAACTTTAAATTTCTCTCTTCTGTTGTGGTCTCATTCCATCTGTCGCTGCCCTGCGGTCAGATTTCTGAATTGGTGGATTTAGATGAAGGCCTTAATCGTCCTGTTGTCTGGATTTGGGCGCCCTGGCGGTATCTCAATTCTTGCATGAAGACACTGGACCTTACCGTGCTGTGGCGGTTTATGTATCTCGACGACCCATTGAGCTATACTGGGGAGTGTCCGCACGATGCTCACAGAGTCTTTCATACCAGGTTGGTCCATGGGTAGAGGTCCGACGGACACAGTCTCCTGGCCCTCCAGGTTGGGGGTTGGAACATGTATGGCGACGTGTTCCGTAAAAAAGGTAATGTACTTGCATTTCCAGCCGAACACCGCTGCCTTGCGGTTAGGCTTTTGAGCCAAAGGCTTTGGATGAGGACCCTAATCGTCCTCCTTCTAGGTGTGGACGCCCTGGCAGTATCCCAGCCCACGTACAACCATGAATTGCACATACACAAATAAACTCATGCAACATCGGCCGTCGCGCGGTGACATCAGCCGGGTCGCCTTACTTGCTGCATACAGCAGGGTGGGTAAGCGAAAACATGCTACTGCTGACGCCTCCCTTCTTACACTTTCACGTTTTTCTTCTTTCACCCTCCCCCCACCCAAATTCGAATACTTTCTCCGCAGGTCCCAGCTCTAGGACTGACCGTGTTGCTCGCCCTGCATCACACTCAGCTGCAGCTTCTGCACGTCCGAGTTCAGTTACTACCCTAAACACTTCGAAGTCTGTTTTCAAACCCCGAAAGCCTGTCTATTTAGGCACCTTCAATGTTCGCACACTGAAGCAAGCAGATCAACATGTGGCTCCTGCGCGTACGCTGGATTCCGTTTGTATTGATGTATGTTGTCTGTCAGAAACAAGGACGCAGGACGCAAGTACTGTGATCGAACTGACTGCCCCCTCACTCTCCTCCAGGTTCCGGCTGGGCACCTCTTGGAATTCAGAGGCCGCTGCAGCTGGATATGCTGGGGGTGGGTGGGTTATTGAGCGAACAAGCGGAAGTGTCTCTGCTTGATTGGATACCCGTTGCCAGTCGCGTCTGTGCGGTTCGTTTGGCAAAATCGGTGAGAGAATCTAGAGAAAGTGAGGTTCATCGCATCTTGTTTATTGTGTCTGCATATGCCCCAACTGACTGTGGCTCTGAATCTGCCAAGGACAGTTTCTACGAAGTTTTAGGTGCCCTCTTACAAGAGCTCAGATTGTGGTTGCTGGTGATATGAACGCCCATGTAGGTAGACTAAGCGCTGCTGAGGCCCGATTGGGTGGTCGTCTTGGTTTGGTTTGGAGACGCACGGACCCGATCACAGGCTGTTCCTTTGCAGTACGAATTTCCGGAACAGCGGAAATCGCTTGACAACGTGGTGCCCACCATCAAACCAGCGCCGAATCCAAATAGACCACATCGCCGTCAGTTATCGGTGGCGAGGGTCGATCACCGCCTGCCCGCTCCTTCGGAACACCAGCGTGGACTCCGACCATGGACTTGTACGCTGCTGCTTTTCTTGCGCCTTTCAGGGGGACGCAAAACACGCAAAACTCGCTTAGCCATTGAGAAGCTAGTGGAACCAGAAGTCAAACGAAACTATCAAAGCCAGCTCCTCGAATACCTGTCGGACGGTACGGTGTCGGATATAAATGGCCACTGGGAAAAAACATCCAAGGCGCTTCTCAAAGCAGGAGCGTCTGCTTGCGGTACAACCCAGCCAACCTCATCCAAGGATTGGATCTCTGATAGGACCGTGTCCTTGCTGAAGACCCGGCGACAGGTTCCACCTGGTCGCCACCACAACTCCACCCGGCGCATCATCCGACGCCAGGTGAAACTGAGTGTCCGCGCAGACTGAGAAGCTTGGTGGACTCAAAAGGCCGAAGAAATGGAAGATGCGAAGAATGCTGGAAACATGCGCAAATTGTTCCACCTGATTTGTTCGACTGGTCCTCGGAAACCTCTTGTCAGCAAAATAATCAGGGACAAAAATGGCTCCCTGATATGCAGCAAAGCAGCACGTTTAGACCGCTGGGCACAGTACTTCGAGCAGCAGTTCAGCTGGCCATCTGCCACCATCATCATCGACTGCGATGGCTCGGTCATGTGCTACGCATGCCGAAACACCGTCTACCGAGACGAGTGTTGTTCTCCGTGCCTCCTTCA